CAATACAACCACCAGCTATGTTAAAGATGCATTATGTAAGAGCTAAATCTGCCTATTACAGGATTTTATTTTGGGATTCAAATGTTATATAAATTAGACATTTATTCACACGGCAAGCCTAAAATCAACTCTCAAATCTATCGGATGGGGTAGATGTAAACGGATTAAAATCCGACCACCATTTGATTAACAATTAAAGTTGGGACGATAATAAGTAGTGTATGTCAAAACTTCAAACAGTGCTAACGTCGCCCAGAATAAAATTGAATGAAATAATCAATATATTAATGTTAATTTTGGAACGGCTAGATCTACATGTAAATCTTACACAATGGATCTTTGATATGATCCCACACTAACATAATTCTTCAATTACTTCCATATCTATGGGTTAATTCTTATAGTATCAGTGATAAACGGTTGAATAAATATTTTATTTTTTGTGATGGGGTTGAAAAATTAGTGTCGTTTGATCTGTTTCTCAGAACATACCAGAAACGATATGACCTGTAGAGTATTTACACAGTCCCTATCATCTTTACTTCCGGTTCCTCTGTAATTAAGTGAAATCTGGTAGAAAATAGCATTTACAATGTTCAAAAATCTACTAACTAGGTCATTTCGGGACTAACATATGGTTTCATTTTATTTCAATAATTCGCTTGCGCGTAGGGGTCTTTAGCAGTGGGAGGAAACCAACAAGGTTGGACAGGCGGCCCTACTCCTTGTCACGTACAACCGGGGATTCGAAACCACGCCAGTTTACTCAATGACAGACCTTATGATACAGCGCGCGCATGCTAACCATTCGGTCATCCAACCCCCCACAGGTGTAAGAACAAAACGTTGTGGTGTATAATTCTAGCTCTTAACCTGGTAATATGCTTACTTCTATGCATGCAACTTCTTACTAACACATATTAAATTGGCTATTTACACATGTAAAAATGCTAATTTATATGACTTATTGTTTAAATATTGCAGTTGGGATTTGTTTTTTGTTCTATTTCCATTATTACTTTTTAATTATTGTAGGCAGTTTATCTTCACTAACATTTTGACATTTTACAAATGTTTCGCGGTAAAGGCGCCATTACATGTATTCTAAGCTTATTTTGGTAACAGATGACGCTGTTTAAAATTGTATGGTGGCTCATTGGGAACATGTAAAATTGACCCGACAGACATGACGACATTTTTCTGTCAAAGATAATAAAAATATTTTACGTACAAAAGCAAACTATTCCAGATATATTTTTTTTCGATAAATATATAGGCTATTTTATCGTTTTATCGTGCATTTTCACAAATAATGCACTATCCAAATAAAGTATTTATGACATCATTGAAGTAATCTATATCGGGGCCAGACTTCCAAATCATCTGGAGCCGCGATGTCTCGGTGAGTAAGTTACTGGCTCGATAACTAGGAGGCCCCGGGTTCGCTCCCGGAGTTGGAAGAGAAAATTCCTCAGGTTTTCCGGCGTGCTTTCCACCTGTCAGTGTCTGACAAGGAACAGTGTCTTAATGGGACGAAAACGCGATGACATGCACCAAGAGTAGGCCATAGCGCACCTGTCCGTACAAAACCCCCAGAAATTGCACACTTCATGACGTATGCCCGTCTTCATTAGCACAGTCGGTGCATAACCGCAGGATGTTAAACTTTATTTCATTTCCAAATGACCGGTTTTGTGTTAGGAGGTAGGAGGACTTTTGAAACTTAAACTATATGTTGATATCCCAAAGATCTCAGATGAGTTCGATTTTGGCACGTATATCACGATAACATTTTGATTATAGCTCCTGGTCACAATTTTTATTCAATTTCTTTTAAAACTAACATTGTATTTTATATCCGAAAGAACTCAAATAGGTTCAATTTTTTTTTGGCACATATTGGACCGTAATTTCCTGGATTTTAGCCCCTGGTTGAACGAAAATCGCGTACATAGCTTGTGCGCCCCGAAGAGATCATAATTCTGAATAGCTATTGCAGTGGCAAAGCATGTTATAACAATTTTTAGATGACACTTATGCGTTGAAGGTCGGCGGATCTGGTATGCGCATCTATATCGGCCCAATTTTAGTTGAAACTTAAAATATGTATTAGGGATCGAAATATCCTGGATTGGTTTGAATTTGATGACCATCGGAGTTATCCTCCTATTCCGTAAACATTGTCAACGCGATACAGGCTATAGTTTTTAAATTTTAACCGATTTTTTTTTTATCGAATTAGGTTATGGCTGCTTAGCCAAGACCCCTTCAATATTCAACCTTCTGTAACATATAAAATATTGTTGATAAACCAAAACAAACACAATAAAAACTTAGAATAATTTACTTTTGCGCATAAAATACTTTACTATTTTTTAGAGAAAAAAATAGCCTACTTTTTCTTTCAAAATTGTCGAGAATGACCTATGTTTGAAAGTAAAAAATGTCGTGTTTTGGGGGGTTATATAAAATGGCACAATTTCACATGTCCTCAATGGGCCACCGTATACTAAACAGCGCCACCTGTTACCATAATGAGAGTTAGAATTATGACTTATCATAACGGGTTAAAAGGGAGTCAAAATTTTAACGCACATTATGTTAACAGATGGCGCTGTTTACTATATGGTGGTTCATTGGAGACATGTAAAATCTCGCCCTTTTCATTACCCGTCAGACATGATGACATTTTTCTGCCAAAAATACTAAAATATTTTACGTACAAAAGCAAATTATTCTAGATATTTTCAGATGAATAAATAGGCTACTTTGTCGTGCATTTGACCTAATACGGCCTTATCGACTGATTTAGCCTCTTTTGTTTGCAATATTCGTTCTCAATATTTCTGAGAGAAGTAATAGGCTATTTTTTTCTCTAAAGATATATAAAACATGTTACGTACAAAAATAAATTATTCTGACAATATTTAAGTAATATGGAAATACACTAGTAGAACAAAGTTATTTTGTGTGTTTGTTTTGGTTTATAAACAATATCTTATTTATTTTTCGATTGAATTGAGAAACGGGAAATGATAATTCAGATATAAAATTACAGCACACAACCACCAACCCAAATTCGTTTGGCCTTTATCCAATTAGTTATGACACCAATGAGACCCCCTACCTCATAAGATAACCCGATGATTTGGAAAATAAACATGCAAGAGCTGAATCTGCCTATTGCAGGTCTTTCTTTAGGCCTGAAATGTTATCTTAATTATTAATTAACTTATCCAGACCATAATCAACTGTCGATGTCATCGCTAGCCTGCGATGGTTACTGGATTAGGATCGGATCTGCCGCTCAACGCTCATTCATGATTAAATCAAAAAATGGATAATCGGGATTATGTTTTTTATCGTACCGACTTTAGTAATGATGATCGAGGCTAGGCCCAAAATTCAATCGCTCAATTCTCGGTTCAGAGTGGAACTGAAATTTTCAGCAAACTCCCTTTACATTAGTCAGCTATTTGGGCCTATCTATTTTTCCTTAATTTATCTTTAAATTAATAAAAATCGAGTTAACGTCCCGTCGTTCAGCATCAACTGTGCTAATCAAGACGGGAATACGCCCGGAAGTGTGCAGTGTGAGGTGATTTTGCACGGACAGCGGCACTACGGTCTACCCTTATTTCAAATTCCAACTTCGAGGGTTCTTTTACGTGCACGCCATTAGAAGGACTAGACAGTGTTCCTTGTCAGGTACCTCGTCTTACACCAATGAAAAGGGGAAATCACGCCGGAAAACCCGAGGGACTTTCTCTTCCAACACCGGGAGCGAACCCGAGACCGAGTCAGGGACATTTTCACCGAGCCACCGCGGCTCACGATGATTTGAAAGCTTGACCCGATAGAAAGCTAAAATAATATCAAAAATACTTTACTTGTGTGCGTAAAATATTTCATAAATTTTAGGGGAAAAGATACGCTAAACTAATCATTACCTATTTATATTTATTTATTCACTCCCGCGCATGACGTTATGACGTTATCTACAATAGTTTGCTTTTGTACATAAAATATTTTATAATTTTTATCTGTCGGGTTATGAAAAAGGCGAATGTCCCTAATCAGCTTCCATACAATTGTGAATAGAGAGAGAGAAATGGGGTTTAACGTCCACTAGACACAAACTAGGTCATTTCGGGACTGACATATGGTTTAATTTTATTTACATAATTCGCTTGCGCGTAGGGGTCTTTAGCAGTGGGAGGAAACCGGAGGACCCGGAGAAAACCCACGAGGTTGGAATTGTGAATAGCGCCATCTGTTACCAAAATGGGCTTAGAATTATGACGGCTTTATTGCGTAACATTTGTGAAATGTCGAAATGTTAACGAAACTAAACAGATTACAATAAATTAAAAGTAATAACTGCAATATTTAAAAAATAAGTCATATAAATTAGCATTTTTACATGTGTAAATAGCCATTTTTACATGTGTAAATAGCCAATTTTACATGTGTTCGTAAGAATTTACATGTATAGAAGTAAGCATATCAGCATACACATTACTAGGTTAGGAGTTAGAATTATGGGGAAAATTCAGCTCCATATACATCGTTATCGGTGGTGCTTATGCAGCTGTAGTTAAATGAAAACGATCGGCTCTGTAGAAAGCAGCGTGGTGGAGTATCTAAAGGGACATTTTAAAGAACAACGCTACATGTTCCAACACTCGCAACATCGCTCAGAATAATGGTAACTCGAATGAAATTTTCAATATATTCCTTTTTCATTATCTATTTTTGAATTATTACAAGAAGAACAACACATTGTGGAAATCAATGCAAATGAAATTAAAATAAGGTGTGAACATTTTCTCATTGAAATAGTATTTATATGATGGTCCAGCCTGATCCACAGATATGCAGATTAAGCTCATGCGATATTTTAATAAAGATGGGATGGGTATTCGTCTCCGCAACAAAATACTTAGCCATTTTGAGACCAACATGTTGATGATACAAGAAATAACAACTAACGATTAATATATAATAAGTACAAATTTATTTTACATCACGCGTTTACTTTCAATACAATAATATACAATAATAACATTCCACATAATTGACGCAAATTGTCATTGGCAAATAATTGTTAAAGATGAATTATGTAGGGGCTGTATGTGCCTATTGTCTGGCTTCAAATGTTATAAAATTACTATATAGACATTACATGGAAAGCCAATAATCAACTCTTGAATGGATTAGAAAACGTTTAAATTGAAAATAGAGATTTCGTTTATTATTGTAGCAATGGTACTTGACAATCGAGACAACTTGGGCTATCTCTTGACAAAACATCAAATATTAATACCTTCACACAGAATATAATAATTTGGGCGAAATTTTTAATATATTCATTTTTCATTATTTATTTTTAAACTATTAATGCAAAAACGACCAGCTCCTTTTTCCAAATCTTACATAATGCGTCTTTAATTTATATACAACACTATTATACAAAGATAGTTTAGAGCCAAAACATCAAATAACAATAAATCTATGATATTCATACAAAAAAAATCATTCCATTAATCTGAACAACAGTAACAAAACAAAACATAACAAATACAAAACGTTTACAAATGGAAAGATAAGAAAAGACTAAATGGGGTTGTGCGTCCTACCTTTCGGCTTCAATCGGAAAAAAATGAAACAAAACATTCACTAATGCCGTTATCCTCGTTATTCCTAGTGGAATCATTCCGTTCTACTTCACTAATCCCTGGGTCCATTCACAGCTTTTTCAAGAAATCAAATTGTCTTCCCCTGGTAATTTCATTGGTCACGTAGGTTGACTCAACGAACCAGTCGAAAAAAACAATTTACATACCAGTCTTAGCGTTTTTGTTTACGTTCACCACAATAAAGTTCCTTGTACGCTCGATTATGAGAAGGGTTGCAAGAAATTTAATGTCAAAGAAGTGACGTGCACACAAAATATGTTGACAAAGTTTGCAACATCGTTCTTAGTTGCAAAAAAATTAGAGCGAGATACTTCCCTTGGCCCACTCGTGAACTTTTTGAATGGTCGATAAAAATAGCACAATTATCATTGGTGTTCAATTTGACTACATGTCTCCCAACTGATGGACTCAGAGGTTAGTGGAGTAGAACAGACTGATACCACTAGGGATACCGATGATGTGTTGCGATACACATCACAGTTTCCTGTCTAGATCAGCTGTCGATCAGACTGGAGACAACTTTGAGATTTTAATCCAGGCATTAGATAAAGCGGGACGAGTTGGTTTATTTATCTGCAGATATGTACATTGTAATTCGTTTTCTCATTACAAAATAATGTTGCAGGTAATACATTATAACGTTGCAGTGCTTTCTATATCAGAGAACCCCGCGTAAACGCCATATAACATCAACTACCATTCTCCATCGCGAGTTCAGATTTAATAATACAAAAGTACCACCCACAATTGCTAATTATATGAACTAATCAAATAATTAAGAAGTGATATGATGATATTTCAAAGCTGAAGCTTGCATATTATATTCGTCATATAGAAACGACCAATACCTTTACTGGATTAAATGGCGTATAGCTGTATTTTATGTAACCTTAAAATAGACCGAAAATGGTTCAAAAGCGCATAATGAGTGTATATAAAGTGATTTTTTTAAACAATTTCTAATCAATTATGTTTGGTGAACTACTTGCCTGCTTGGTCCATTCTACACCTTTATTTTATTTTTATTATTAGCACTCGAAACCATTATGTTCCGTGTGTCTTAGGTATTAGGTGTTAGGATCCCATATTTTCTCGCTGAGATAAAAACATCAATATTGATTGAAATGGACCAATATCGAATTCTTCTAATACGTGTTTTTATTTCTAATAATATGGATAATATTAATTTAGAGGTTTAGCCCCCTTTAAGGGGTGGACATTAAATGTTGTACAATATGCACCTGCCCAATATATAATCACAAACATGGCGGGAAAAAATATTACACATCTCTCATAATATTAAACTGAGTATTAAACAGAATTGAGACCTTTTAGCTTACAGATAGAAGCCCTACTATTTGTCAACTAGCTTTTGGGTAAGTTGAAGCTAGTATTAATATCTTCTACCTGTTACAAGCCTGTATCTGCACCTAAAATAAAACGGTGAATAGTATACAAATAAATTTGATTATATACAATTTAGGGAATCACTGGTGGCGATTAAACTTGTAGAAATTCGTTTTCATAAGTGAATAACAATTCGCATTTAACAGGTTAACCCATAAGCATGCGCAAACAAAAGCGCTTGACAAATTAAAATAGTTTTACCCGGTTTCGTGCACTGCCAAGACTATGTTCACAATTCTTGACACACCACATTGGGCGTGATTCAAATAGGAGAGAGGTCATAATATAGGCTATATCTGTTGAACATTCGTGTTATGCTCGGATACATTTAGTAGAGCATTTTCAGAATGATATTAAAACATGTAACATAATCAGGTGGAGTCGATGGTCCGAGTAATAGTAACACAGGGTTTATATCGCTAGCCAGTCAGCTTTAACACAAACTGAAACTGCCGTTTAGTTACCTTTTTTTCGCGAAGCATCGGTAAGCTATCTAAGCATACTAATACAGAGGTTTCTTTACTTTTGAATATATGGAGCACTTTACAATTTTTCCGTTATTAGTTCGACGTGTTTGACCATTTTCCAACACTTTTTGTCAGGATTTTCAAATTTGGATGTGGAAAATGTTCACACGGAACCGTTGCCTACAGCATGTTCCATTAGAAATTGATCGAACGTGTACTTATTAGCGTTCCGAGGATACACCTATATATAATATATTTTGCAAGTCACGTGTTGGCAAGGTTTTCGAGTAACCTACCGACAAATGTATAAAATCAGTTGTCACTAACGAATTTGTAAACATTCTCCGGAAGGTTCGGAAAAACTGGCAAAAATCATGGCCGTCCTGCTCTAACTTTTTCCAGGCTATCAGCCATCATAATGTCCACAAAAACCCCTAGAGAGACTCAAACACTTCGAACTACGCTTATATACATGTATACATTACAAGATAAACATAGACAAAATATATCGAAATGTTAAATATTAGATAATATTAACTAAATGTTATTTGATTACATGAAAATTAACTAAAATCTGAATTTGTGTAACTAAATACAATTAGTGTTATTAAAACGTGGTTGGTTATTGGTCAACTAGTAAATTAATAGGCAAACTACAAAAAATAACAGGACCGGAGAATACTGACAAGATCGGCAATAAAAATTATTGTGATAAACGTCATTTTGTTCATCATCGATCCACATACATCTTCAAACTGTTGGTGGTAGGTAATTAAGGGTTCTCTTTTCCTGGTTTGAAGATTTTAGACAACAATACGGCATTTAACACTAGCTCCCTTAATTGATCACTCAAATTGTTTTTCATTAACCCATCTTATGTCTTCCAATTGCTGAACTTTGCCGAATATCACTAGTCAACCTTAGATTATCAGAGTAGTTCTTTGATGTTAGTAATGATAAAAAAGGTTAATTAATTAATAGCCAGCATTAGAATCCAACAAAAGAACAGTTATGAAGTGGTAGTTAGTATTAATAAAAGCTTGCCGGTGAAAAATTGAATGTCTACAAGTGTACGGACTCACTAGTTGTATTAACGTATATATCATGTTTATAGGTGTCGTTATCGTAACCATCTAGCATATGCTTAGGCTGTTTCGTACCCTTCTCTCCTTTGCAGTTACGCTTTCTTCCTATTAGTCCACGTATCGACTCGGCTAATATGTATACCAGCACGATTGCACACAAATAGCCGAACCATAGTGACCAAATAAGCTGATCCGTGACCGCCAGAAATACTCCCAGTGAGATATTAACCAAAGCTAAAATTAGACCAGCTCTCCCGCCAAAATGATGAACACATTCCCATAATCTTCTACGAAACGTCTTCGATTCATCTGGCTGTGTTTTATGTGGCCGACTGAAATAAATAAAATTAAATGGGGTTTAACGTCTTACTGTTCTGCTCCGACTGGGCTAATGAAGACGGGCATACGACATAGAATTACAACTGTAAAGGAGGGATCTTTAACGTGCACGCCAATGTATACACGGGACTTCGGTTTTTCGTAACACCCGAACGACTAGATAGTTGTCCTTGTCAGGCCCTCCTTCCTGCACCACTGACAAGGGGAAACCACGTCGGAAAATCCCCAATGCAGGTATCGAATACGCGACCTCCGGGTTAGCGAGCCAGCGTCTCAACCACTTAGCCACCGTGGCTACCCGACTGACATAAGACGAAGATACTGAAATGTACATTTATATATATCGTGTTTCCATTCCCTAGCCAAGAAATGTTAAAACATTTAATTTTCTTTGAAAAAAAGTTGCATTAAAATAATAAACATCTGAAAGTTTAATGCTGTGGATATTATATGGAAAAGAATATGAAATCGGACGTGTTTCATTTGTTGGCAGCAATAAAGTAATTTCATTAAAGCCGTTCTTGCACACACAATGTCCACTATCCTCTAATCATTTGCTTTTTACAACACAGTATCTAACAATATTGATATATTCGATAGGATATTCGGGAATGTGTTGATGGCGGTAAAATACATGAATACTTACATCAAAGCATTTAAAGGCTGTAATACTCCTAATATCATAACAACAATACCAACTATTGAATGTACAAATTTAACATGTCCAAACGGTACTGATAATATTCCCATAACCAGACCAGCTATAGCACAACACAGTCCAAATATCTGAAAAAAATTAAACATGAGTTGCGATGCAACGAATATTTGCCCTTAGGCAACCGTTTTGAAGGGTTGTTTTCATGTCTTTTGGTTATTGGATATAGCTACCAGACAATTGGCGTCCGTTTCTTGTGACTATCTGAACAATCCTGTTAAGTCCCTGTAATGTCCAACGTGTACAAGATTTCCGTGACAGAGAAAATAAGTCTATCATAAATGCTGTGAAGCTTTGAAATACGGTATGATTCATTTTAAAGAGTTGTTGATCAGTCCCATTATCTTTGAAATATAAATCTTAGAGACTGATACATATGGAAGGTTAACAAGAAATGTTATACGCTGATGTTTTTAAACAATGTCCGGACATCATGATTTCCGCTTACTCTTGGGTTCGTTTACTTGCACGCTAATGTGTACACGATTTTTCCTTCCGTTTTTCTTTCCTTTATATTAAAGGACACGGTCTTGAAATTCACAGATGTCTATTAGTCTATTTACAAACATTTTTTTTATCGTACTGGGTAAATGACCATTGCTTGATGGTATAACCATACTTGTTTTCAGTTAATGATGCTTCTCTTTCATATACTGATCTAATCTTTATTATTATTATTATTATGGATGAGTATATATTACTTACCTGAAACGTCACATGCAGGTAAAACCAGACTGGATTCTTACACTTAAGATATCGAGCTATAAAAGCTCCCCATTGTAAAAAGAAACCCCAACCTATAGCCATCAAAATACCATGTACGGTGATATAATTAATATAATATTTAGTACATTCTAACATGTCGGATTTATCAGCATCCATGGCGTCACCTCGTAATATCCATAGATCGTTCATTGGATTCTTACTGCAATAAACATGAAATAGGCTTTAAAAATCACGAAGTGATAATACATTTTCCAACTAAAAATAAGGAATGAATTGGGCTTGAACGTCCTACTTTTCAGCACTTTCCTGGACGGACATACGTTATACAGGGTGCAAAGAGGGATATTTTGATCGGAAACCGGCGTTTCCGCCTATACTCTTTATCGAATTCAAGTTGTCAAGCTGTCATGGCTTCTTCTGTGTGCTACAATTGAGTACACGGTGGGCTTCCGTTTTTCTGCACCATTCTAACGACTAGACGCTTTTCTTTCGCATCATGAGTATGGGATCTTTAGCAGTAAGACAAACACGCAGAACCCGGAGATAACACATGAGGTTGGATAAGCGACCCTACTCTTTGACACCATAAGCTTGGGCTCGAAACCACAAAACTTTATTCAATAACAGACCTTACAATCTAAAGCGCACGCTGTCTAGCGTTGATTTTTGATGTGACATAACAGTTTAAATTGCACAACCACACGGGTCAGTTTAGACTCAAATTACTTACGTCATTTTGTTGATTCCACCAAACATATAGATTCCATTTTTGGCTGTCGCCATACCAACGGACGCCCTCCCACTTGGTACAGGTACACTGGAATTCTAGAAAACAAATGAAAAGTCACATATATGCTGTACCAAGATTCTGATCACAAATTAATTAAAACTGCCTTTCCTTCTCAGAATTTCAACGATCAATGGATCTTTTGCGTGCACTGCCATAGTCAACACCTTTGAACGAATAACATCTTTAAAATAACTAGACGACGACCAACGTGTATATAATCCTGTTGGGGATTCGAATTTGGGACAGTCGAATTCATGTCCGTTGTCTTTTTGTCGCTTAAGAATACTGCTTGACTTCCGACCGGAAGTATTATTGGAGATTGTTGACATGATGTTTTGTTTCGACCAACTTGACAATTCAGTCACACAACTTCTAGCAAGTGTAGACAACTCTAGCTGACTGAATTGAAGACCAAGGTGGAGTTGCTAGTACTTACATAAGGTATTGTTTTTCTGACAGACCAGCTATTAGAATCAGGATCATAAACAGCTACTTGGTCATCTATTATCTCATTAGTCTGAAAACATAAGTCAAGCTCATTTAAAATTACATAGAACCTTAGACATACTCCTTATATATCCACAGCAGCAAAGTAATCAATGCTTAATCCAAAATTATTTTAAAATCCATTATGAAATCTGTACAAAGATTTGAATGTAAAAAATGACCGGAAAAATAAAGTTAAAAAACGAGTTCGAAATCTACGATCCGAAAATTTTATATCCCAATTAAAATTATCCCAGATTTTAAATATTCAAACTAGAAGGCTGTGCTTTATGGCTTCACAATCTTTCACAAGGGGGGAGCTAACGCCATCTGCGATTGAAAACTTGAATTTTGGTAGTGTTCTTTATTCCGACCAAACTTGAAATATAACCGAAAAAAAGCTATAGTTTACAAAGGTATGATGGCGACACTATACATTCACGTTAAGTGATAGTGTATAAATGTTAGCCCATACATTGACGATATAGGGGGTGGGGGTGTATTTTGTACAAATGTTTTAAATGCGAATTTATAGAAATAAGGTGATTAAAGGGACCTTACTCTGATTACTTGATCTGACTTTTCTAAACCGCCATATAAAACTACCCGTCTTCTATTAGCTGCCGACGGTAAATTAGCCATAACACCATACATTCTGAAACAAGTATGAAACTCATGGTCAAAATTAAATGTTAAAACACACATAAATCTTATCTCAGTACTTGGCGCCTGATATTTCCGGAGATGTTTTTTTTATTGTGGCTGGGAGCATTTATTCTTCCAAATAAATGAATGTATTTAAAACAAGAAACTTTTTTATATCCCAATTTCAGTGAGAAAAGGTTCCATAATTTTCCTGGCAATCACTAGAACTGTAAGTATATATCTTATGTTGTTTCACTGCTTTTTACAATCAATGATAAATAAACGATTTAAAAATACCTGCGACCTCAGAACGCGACAATTTGGCCAATTTCATGTTGTGACGACAGAGCACAATTCTTGGCTGCATGCCCAACACCGTTTCGTTCTCGGTCCCCATCCTTCCTTTCTCGGGGCTACAGAATACCCAGTCTCTGGTGTAATCTTTATATTCACTTAATTAAAACCATTAAATAATACTGACTATTTACCTTGGTGATGCACAATCAGGGAGTCGTTTCCAGTGTTTAGATTTACCATTAAATAACCAAGAATCACCTGCAGGACATGGTCCACCACTTCCACCACCACTAGTGTATAGAATAAACATGTATTAGCTATCAATATTTTGTCTACTAAACATCGTAGGCTTTAAGATAAATACCTGTATTGGGTAGTGGTATATTTTAAAGATGGATTATATTTTACCAAGAAAATAAAAATAATCGTATACTCGCTTATATTTAGAAATTAACTCTCAAATATATGTACAATTTGAAAATTTGAATTTAAAAACACTGAGTTCTCGATTGTCTTAAATTTGAGCAATCTGTCCAATCGAAGCTGGTTAGTTTTATCGACATGCCCAATTCCAGATTTAGGGTAAATAAACAAGCTATTATAATATATCTCCCCCTATAAATAAACTATTATAAAATAACTCACCCTAGACATCCACCAAATATAACCATTTCATCTTTATCTATCATAGTACCAGCATGTAAACATCTAGCATGGGGATAACTAGGATTATAGGAGTTACAATCACGACAATATTCTACAAAACAATAAAACAATATTGATATACAAAACATACGGACAATCACAAGATAGGCAAAGTTTGATACCTTGATTATTTTGATACATTTTGTTGTAATGTGAATGCTGTTTGTTGACAACATATTCGCCAATCGTATCAATCACTGTCTTCGAATCAACACATTTCCTTAAATCTGATATAACCCAAATATTGTCATACAGGTCTACAACAAACTTAGTGAAGGTATCGACCAGTGTATCAGTGTAGGTATCAATCACAGTATTAGTGAATGTATCAGCCACTACATCAGTGAATGTATCAGATCTGCATCTGTGAATGTATCAGCCACTGCATCAGTGTATCAGCCACTGCAGCAGTGAATCAGCCACTGCAGCAGTGAGTGTATTAGCCACTGCATCAGGGAATGTATCAGCCACTGCATCAGTGAAGATATCAGCCACTGCATCAGTGAAGATATCAGCTACCGCATCAGTGAAGGTACCAGTCAATGTGTCAAATATTGTGAAGATGTCTGGTATATTACACAAGTACTGACTTCAGAAATGTGATCAGATAATCTGGAGACCTTGTACAAACGACTACCAGTGTTATGGTATAGTACACTTCAGAAGTGATCAGATAATCTGAAGAACTCACATGGACGACTACCAATGATTGCAAGCAAACAACTAAACACTGACCATTTTTACCATTAGCCCGGCTCTGAGCTAATTTTAGATTGGTCATTCAAATCTTATGGAGCTAATATTAATTAGTTTGCGTTTGTTTTCACATAGGTTATATGGCAGTTCACATGTTCACGTATGTAAGTATGATTTATAACCACTAAAATCATGTCTAATTTTGTTAAGTTCATACACTGTATATGGCGATTTTCACTGGACTGCCTAATAAATTAAAGAATCCCTGCATACTTACCAAGATGCCAGCGAAGTTGTCGTGTATCATACGAATATGTATTATGGTATCTAACACTAGAAAACCCTAAGGCAACATATAACTCTTCTCCGCCATTAGGATATATTCCACCAGCAGCACCATACCTGGGTTCCGGGCCTATCCAGGATGTATTTCTAGCTTCCCATTCAACTTGACTAAAACAAATCAAAATCCGCTCGTATAACACAGTGTACTAGTTGGGTACGTATTCTCTCAATCAGTGTTGTCATATTCCCTAGCGAGACTTGTGTGGAGAATGTCGTGCTCGAGGTGGGGTTTATAACAGTTATATTTCATTGTCGTTTAAATTTACAATGAACCTTAGAGTTTTTAAATTGAAATCAGATTAGCATCACGTTTTTTTCGTTTCGTACTAGTGCTTCTCTGTACAGCCGCAATTTCTAATTATAAAATTGCCTTATATTATAGATAGTCTGCTGTGTCAAATTTGTCCAATATCTCTGTCGGTTTGGGGAAGTTCGTTCTTATCTTGTACTAGGTCGTTGCCGGTTCAAATTTCTGAACTATCGTAGAGGGCCCATGTTCCATTTTATGTTTATTTTAGAATTTTGTCGCTCAATACAAGTTCAAAGAAGACGAGGAAGTCCGGTGATAATTAGACGGCAAAACTACAAATTAATGTCTCTAAGCATAATGTTACATTAAAATTTCTAGTTGACTTCAATAAACGAGAAGTAGGCGACAAATTCATCAATCCGTATTGATATCGTTACCGTTTATAGCAGATTTATTAAATTCAAAATGTATCAATAGAAAGTACATGTAATTAGTTTGTATATTAATAGAATGGTTTCCTAATAGTTATTCCGTTACGAACAATACAAGTAGAATTTAAGTTTTTACCTGTAAAAGTCTGGTCGACTTTGGGTTGGAATTTCCTCCCATGCTTCTGTTCTACAATAGAAAAAAAAACAATATTTTAGGGAATCATGTTAGTATTTTAGCAGAAATTTAAATTATCTGTTTGCGTGTCCAATAAAAGCTTTCAGGAAAGCAATAGACAACAGAACTGTTAACTGGTTCAACAATCTGATTAAAACACAGATCCTATTTCCTTTCGTTTTTTATAGTTCAAAATTTCGTTTTACTTGTCTTTACTACACTAGGATCTCGGAAGGGTTGTTACATAACCCGCGTTCTGGATGATACGAGGGCAAGGCCTAAAATAAGGTTAAATTCTTGTAGCACGAGGGAGTCGATCGGGCGCCAACTGATCTGATCTGGCCTTCGCAACTGACCACCACAAGAGGAAACACACATTAGGGGTCAGGAGGCATCACTACCTTACACTTTTTCAGAGCCTTACGCCATTTCTTTCAGAGCACGGTTTTCTTATTTTCGAAGCACGGATTTTTCATTTCGAAGCACGTTCGTGCTCCAAGGCACGTTATTTTAGGCCCTGTACGAGGGTTTAACCAATGAAACGGTCTGTTACGGCGAGTTTTTGGCGTCTTTTTAGGACTTCGAATTTTGTCTAATGGTTTGGATTGTTCGTACTTGGTTTTATATTATTAATCAATGTCTGACGTCATAAGGTCAAAAGTCGCTCGTATGACACCTGGCGCGACCTTTTCACTGCAACTGGTCAGATCTTCATGTAGTGTAGGACATCGAAAGTATAAAAAAACGAAACGAAATATATGTATAAGATGCAGATAATACGATAAACAAGTTCAAATGTCACAGATCTATAAAAACTTGATCTCTTATTTAGATTATAATAAATAAATATAAAGGTTATACCTTAAATCAAATCTCCAAATATCAGAGAAGAATCTTTTATTTTCTCCTTCGCCAGTGGCTATATAGAAAAAATCACCGCTGACCCCACTAACCATGCTAAATCTTGCCTGAGGTCGTAAACTCACGGTTACCATCCGCCACGTATCTAAATAAATAAAATATTAATATTGTAAGATCATACGTTTCTCTTAGATTCAACATTTCAACAAATGTTTAACAGACTCAAGTTTCAAGATGCAATTTATTCAGACCATAAACACATTTCAAATTTCAAATACGACAAGATTACTGGTCTAAGAGCCCTAAAGACCTCTACAGGTCGCTGCAGGGTCCCCTGCATGGAGGTTTTAGAAATAGCTGTGCCGAAAACAATTTGAATATAATAGTGGGTGAATTTTATTCGGGTTCAATTTATTTTATTTTTATGTCAAGGGCAATTACATAATATAGAGAAAATATAGAGAAAATAAAGTTTTGTTCAGATGTAAAATATTTCGGGTTTAAATAATTCAGATTCATTTTATTTTAGTTTTACGTGAAGGGCAATTCCATAGAGAGTAATAAATCTCGTCGTGTAAGTTTTCATGCAAATACACAGAACAAAACCACAAGTTTTATCAAAGTTATATTTGCAACGTTTGTTCGGTTATTTTAAACTAAGGACAAGAACTTCGCCAAACTGATCAGCAGTAAATATTCACTTAGCCGCTACTATCACTGAAAGGGAGTTAAATTAGCTCTTTTTAAATTATTAAAAAAAACAATAAATGTGTTGGGAGTATATCTGGATAAAAAATATATTTCTTATTCAGTATAAATGTGTAAATAAAATAGTATGCGAAGGCGTAAAATGAATAAAAGGCACCAATTCTGCCCGGATCACTTTGCGTTACTACGACTGATTTAAACAACGCACGTTCTCTTGACTCTGCATGATGTGACGTCACACGTAGACCGATAAGGTACGTAAACCTTAAGGTCAGCCATCTTCTACAGAATTAAAAGACTTTCGCAAGAAACAGATTGGAACTTCGCAAATAATAAAGAATGACATTTAAATTTTAATCACGTTTTATGAAATAACATGCCAAGAAAATTAATCAATTCATAAGCTGTTTAAAAAAAATAAAAAAAATAGAAGTCCACGAAAATAATTCCATGAATACTGGACGAGTGACAAATTTATGAGGTTATGAAGATGGGTGCAGATAGTGTACGAAATAGAAAATTGCACTCAAATTGAATAAATGACAAGCTTCGGCAGATTAGAAAACAAATCAGATATCGCATGGAATCAAGGCCAAATAATAAATATATTCAAACCAGTGGGAGCCGCGGTGGCGCAATGGGCTAGACGGTGGCTCGCTAACCATGAGGTCTTGTCCGGCAAAGTTTCTTGGGGATTTCCGATGTGGTTTCCCGGTGGGGCAGGAAGGGGGTCTGGCAAGGAACGATGTCTGGTTGTTCGGATTCTGATGGGACGAAAACCGAGGTCCCGTGTACGCACTGGCTTGCACGCAAAAAAACCTTCGAGTTCGACAGTTGGAATTCCAAATATAGGTGGTAAACTATATAGATGGGCTTGTTACGGATATAACTGAAGAAATACGACCTTCGAACCAAATAAGCAAACAAACTGTTTACTTGAACTCGACACCTTCAAATATTTCAAAACGCCATGTAATGAACAGCGTAACATTGATCTGTTATTGTGAAATGTAATTAAAGTTTTATGAAGGAATGTATCATTTGTCATGATGCTATCTCATCCCACCATATAACAATCTCAGGTTCAACTATATATGAAAATACTACTCGAATATAATTTAGACCACGTGTCAGAATAAAGGTTTTAGTATACAGTTCAGGTATGTACAAACCCAAAAATAATTCTATATTTTAAAAAAAATTGTTCTATCAAGTATCACACACCTGAAAAACATGCCTTTACTGAAACACCTATTGATCGACCGGTTATTTATTTGTGTATCGGAATAGCCATCATAAAGGCTAGGGTAAGAGTCAGACGCATCTGGCAAGTCTAAGGCTCAATTTAATTAATGGTCTACGGCTTAAATTGTAATACAAGTGGAAGGACATAACCTTTAGCGAGCGGAGCGGATAGGGAAGTGCAAGTCTCCTCCAGGAACACAAGAACATCAACCTATGTTCTGTACCCTAAGAACTTAATTACATGATTTGCAGTGTCAGATTTAGAGGAAGACGGGACTCTCCCAACCCCCGACCCGTTGATACTGATATGAGAGAGAGAGAGAGAGAGAGAGGGGGGGGGGTAGAGAGAGAAGGGGGGTAACGTCCTCTCGATACAAACTAGGTAATTTCAGGACTACCATATGGAACAATTGTATTTCATTAATTCGTTTGTGCGTAGGGGACTTTAGCAGTGGGTGTGGGGGGGAAACCGGAGGACCCGGAGAAAACCCACGAGACTGGACAGGCTGCCCTACTCCTTGTCGCGTAGAACCGGGGAATCGAAACCACGCCAGTTGACACAATGAACGACCTTATGATACAACGTTGGAAAGTGTTCTACCCAACGAAAATTTGGGAAAAAGTTAGAGCCGGTCTATGAGAGGAGAATTAACATTAAAGTCAATGGAGAAATCGTTAGTGATCTGTGGCCATATATATAGTATGCTTGTACTTGTTATTCACACCGCCTGTCCATATATGTACTATGTACGCTTTGAAAGTGTCATCTATTTACAAAAATAGTTTGATGCTAACTTAATTTTGTATCTATATCAATTAATGTATAGGTTGACTTAATCTATAGAAATAAATAAATAAAAGACTTAATCGAGCGTATATTCAGTTTTTAATGAATAAAAAAAATTGGCTATATTATATGGTTGGGACGGTATTTATAGCTCATGAAGTCGAACGGAAGTAAAACTAAGAAATAAACAGTTTAGCTTTAAAAACAGATTAAGTTAGAGTTACAAAAAGGTCACATGTGCGGTCATGTTCATGTCAACATTATTATAATGTACTATCAATAACATCGTCACGTTTGTAACTTATTTTATAATATTGCTTTTTGATGTCCTGGGTTCTACTAGATATTTAAATTGCATCTAAGAGCAGTGAAGCTTGAATATCTAGAAAAGTGTATCTAATGATCTAATTCGATTTTAATTTGAAGATCTATGATCCAAAAACTTCCGACCTCTCATGAACTCGAAGTTGGGAACTAATGCACATATTATATGAACTGCATACAATTTCCCATAATTAACCAGCTCGGGGTCACGTCAGGGTATGCTTGCTCTTTTCGGAATATCTACTACCACTTGCCAATGGCCTTGTGGTTTATATAACTAACCGCTTTATTTGGGTTTCAGAATCAGAGATTTGCTTTGTGTGTTTACTGGTTGAGCAGCTTTCCAGCGTAGTATATCTCTCAAAAGCTACGTTATTTTTACATGCAACTATTACAATAAATGGCATCTCAATGAGAAGATGAGAGGTGATATGCTAATGAAAACCCCAGTAATAATTACGAGCACACTATGCACACAGGTACCGAGCATGACGTGATCGCAGCCATCTTAGATAGTGACGTCATATTTAAAAAAAACAAAAACAAAGTATATAAAAAAAAAAATAGTACCATGGGCTCTCAAGGTACAAAAATACAAAATGGTGTAATAAATAGTACGAGGATATTAGCAGAATAAACAGCGTTCCTGTGACAAAGTAGTTTCAGGGTGTTTCGAAAAGAGCAAATGATAATATAACAATACGAGAGAGAGAGAGAGAGAAATGGGGTTTAACGTCCACTCGACACAAACTAGGTCATTTCGGGACTAACATATGGTTTAATTTTTATTTACATAATTCGCTTGCGCGTAGGGGTCTTTAGCAGTGGGAGGAAACCGGAGGCCCCGGAGAAAACCCACGAGGTTGGACAGATAACAATACGAACCTGTAGAAAATTCATATACAAATGATAATATAACCATACGAACCTGTAGAAAATTCATATATCCACGTATCCTGCAAGGGTCCAGGTTTCCCACCAAATAACACCAGTCTCTCTCTAACAGCGTCATAACCAAAACCCATATCACGTCGGGGACTTGGGGCATCGCCAATACCGCGATCTAACCTTTCCCATTTTAACTGGCCTTCGACAGATTTTGAAATGAACACGATAATTAATGCTGCTATTTTCATTTTAGAACCTATAAAACTGAAAATGAAAAAGAAAAAAAGTTACATTACGTTTAACAAGAAAACGAAACATTTTGAATATTTGCATACCTGTAGTATTCCAAATCAGATTCCCAGTATTATCGAAAATCAAAGCACTGGTCTACTTTAGAGTTAAACGCCCTGGAGGCAACAAAAACTTTTTAAAAACTTCTTTATCTCAGCAATGGATTAGCAGATTTATCTCAAAATAACTAGCTATTTAAAATATCTCAGATTTAACAGTGGGGCGATTCTTGTCGAATCCAGATTTACCAATCTGTAAAGTGTTTGTTGCTCTTTAACGTCTGATCCAAGATATAATCCTGTCATTAAATTTAATGGGATATTGTAAACAAACGCCTATTAGTAACACATATTATAACTTGCCTCAGGAATTATTAAAATATGTAGTGATTTTTTTTTCAGGATGACAGCCGGATAAATCAACTGACAGGATAAAGATGTTTTGAATGTCTGTGTGGCAGGTTGGGTTATATGATAGGCCTACCAAGCCGTCAATTATACAGTGTTCTTGTCACTGTGGCTTATCAAATAATGAATGCTAGAACGCCTGCCTTTTGGTCACTTAAACTGCACTTTCGTGTGGGCTGCAGATTGTAGTTAATGATTTCAAAGAGACATGCCACTAAGTCTCGAAATTCCAGAAGAGATGCACAAGGATAAATGTTTAAACACCTAGGACTGGAGACTCCATATAAAATGTCCTATAAAATGTAACTTAAGGGGGTGCGGCCGGCTAAAGCGACGTGCCATGTAATCTATATAAATATTCATTCTTTGCACATCCATTCAAGCAAAAGTGTATGTGTGGGGGAGGGGGCAAAACAAATTAAAAAGAAGACTTTCTTTCATGTCACAGGACTGAATCATACGTATCATTTCCACACACATGACAAAAGAAAAGCTGTGCGAATTGTACCATAATTTATTCTGATAAGAAATATTGGGTGTGTGATATAGTCATTTTCATGGTTTAGAAATGCACTTTTTATTACAGACATTTCTAATATCAAGGGTTTGGTAACACAGCCTCGCCTACCGCCACTTGTAAATCTATTAAATAACGCTTTATGATTTGAATTACCTTGGCGATCAGCCACTTGAGATATTCACGTAACAGAATAAATGTTTTTAAATATACGTATATTTAGGAGGGTCGTTAAATAAGATATTATTAAGTTCAAAATAATTTATCATTTTAAAAATGCTGTTTGAAATGTCCTTAGATAAAGCTTTCCCACTCACAGTACCCTTTGATCTTTTGGATATTCGTAATGAGTGTACAAGACATACCTGAAATTACATGTTTTACTCCTACTAACATTCAGGCTAGTAAGATGGCTTGGTGACCTAACGTGCTCACAGTGGATTATACTGTATGCTACATATACAAGTCATGGATTCAATCCTTGGTTTGTACATGACATACAGTATAGTGGGATCGTTGGTTTTCTATGGACAATCTGGAACCCTTCCAGTTTTAAATGAAATGGTGTTTAACGTCCGACTTTTCTGCACCAACGTGGCTAATGAGGACGGATATGTGCCATACAATGTGTTATGAGAGGGATTTTGCCCGGGCAGTGGCCATATGGCTTACTCTTCTTTCGAATTCCAACTGCCAAGTGTACCTTTACGTGTACACCAATTTGTACACGGGGCCTCTGTTTTTCGTACCATCCGAACGACTGACATCTAAATATACTATATATTAATGTTAGGCTCATAACGACCTCGACTCTCTTTTACATCATTTTGCAGACTAGCATACAACTTTTCATTTACTATAGCTGCGTGTGGTTGTGTGAATTATGCCAGAACATCTTGGAAATTTTTACTACTGCCAAGGGATCATTCACGTATATACCATGGTATTGTGAAATGAGCAGGCCTTTAAAGTAGCCATATTGTTCTTAATTTATAGGGTGCCTTATTAACCGGGGGTCCGTGGCTCAATCTCGGTACTTCCCAAGACAGTTCCCTCGGATTTTACAGCGTGGTTTCCCCTTGTCACTGATACAGGATGTAACACCCAGGGTCTGTGTACACCTCGGCATGCTTATACACGAACACTTGACGGTTGGAATTCAATTGCTGTACGAGCACAATTTCTACCATACTGCTAGCAAACTAGTTAGTCATGTTAGTGTAAAACCGTAGGACGTTTAACAACATTTCATTCATTTATTCTTAATTAATAAAAACTAACCATTTCCAGTCGTAAAAACATACTATATCATGGTCATCTACAAACTTATTAAATCTTAAACTTTCACATTTCTTTAAGTACAAGGTTTGTTAGCTATAATTCTTAAATTGGTAAGCTACTAAAGTAACGTTGGCGGTAACTAGTGTTATAGAGAGATAAACACTGGGAATTTTTCAAGAATATTTTATGTCCCAGAGTTCAAACAGTTAGAATCCCTACAATTAGTACAATTGCCGCTTTAATATATAGTATGCAAGTAAAAGATCCCTTGGCAGTTGGAATTCGATATTAGAGTGGGCTTTAGTGCTGCTGTCCGGGCCAAATTTCCCTAAAATCTCGGTTCAGAGTGGAAGAATTTGACTGAAATTTTCAGCAAATTGCCTTTACATTATCTAGTTTGTAACTATCATAGTGAGAACTACCAGCTCTTTATTTAACCACATTTCATTCATTTATTCTTAATTAATAAAAACTAACCATTTCCAGTCGTAAAAACATACTATATCATGGTCATCTACAAACTTATTAAATCTTAAACTTTCACATTTCTTTAAGTACAAGGTTTGTTAACTATAATTCTTAAATTGGTAAGCTACTAAAGTAACGTTGGCGGTAACTAGTGTTATAGAGAGATAAACACTGGGAATTTTTCAAGAATATTTTATGTCCCAGAGTTCAAAGAGTTAGAATCCCTACAATTAGTACAATTGCCGCTTTAATATATAGTATGCACGTAAAAGATCCCTTGGCAGTTGGAATTCGATATTAGAGTGGGCTTTAGTGCTGCTGTCCGGGCCAAATTTCCCTAAAATTTTCAGCAAATGCCTTTACATTATCTAGTTTGTAACTATTATAGTGAGAACTGCCAGCTCTTTATTTAATCTCCCATAATGTATCTTTAAGTTCTTATTTATAAAAATCTAAATATTTATACAGTATATTTATCAACAATAAAAAAGTGTCAACTGCGTTCTATACCTAATTAATAACAAAAACTATTCAGGTTTTTTGTAAGAAATGATGTAATCGTATTATTTCAATTTCTAAAAAGTAGTACTTACATATAGAATTTGAACTAAAGACAGAGCGGTTACCGAACTATCTTTAATGACGTCGCTGAGAAAAGTGAAGCCTCTGAGAAGATTTACTAAATGTAGGCCAATGCGGAACTCAATAGCTACATTATGTATACAATTAATGACTGTATGAGGATGGGCCTCAAAAGTTTTGAAAAAAAATTGTCAAGTCATACTCTGCCAAAAGGCTTTTTTGTTGATCAGTGATGAAGCATTTTGTTTGTATTTCCACGGTCTGTTTTCTACTCCATAAACAAAACATCCAACGAACGGGAACATTCTAAATTCGTCTGAATTTAGATGAGTAAAAAGTCGCGAAGGTGAAGCGAAAAATGATTTACACTTGGGTTATCAAAAAGAAAAATTGCATAATTAATTCACTGCCCCCCCCCACCCTCCCCCCCCCCCCCAAAAAAAAATCGATAGTGTGCTAGTTAGCCCTAATTTTGCAGGAATGTCGGCTAGCGAAGTTGCCATCGTTCTTATTCACGTCTGCCTCCATTGTCATATAGATTCTCGTTCTGTATTGTACATCTTCACTAGCCAAGATGGTATTTACAGCGAATCGTAACCCTTGCGTAGCGAATATGCCATCGTCCTTATTCACGTCTGCCTACATTGTCATATAGACCCTGTTCTGTATTGTGCATCTTCGCTAGCCAAGGGTATAGTACAGCGATCTCCGATCTGCGGTCTCTCTTTAAAGTAGCTAAGTCTCTAACTCAATATCATCCAAAATCTTCAACATTGAAAACATGATTTATTTGTCAAATTAAATCAACATTCATGTTGTGATCTTACCGGAAAAAGATGGGCTTTTGATATCCAATATTTAAGACAAAATAAACATTTTACCATTGGTAATTCGTGTACCATAATGCGCTTCATCCCCAGTTGTATCAAGAGACTCGAGGGACGAGGCAAGACGCATTGCACCAAATAAAACGGCGTATGTAGACTGGAATAACCCGACGCTAGAAATTTGCACTCGCTTGAGACTGCTGGCTTATTTCGCCGAACATAACTGATTTGAAATTGGAGTAAAAACGGAAACCATTGAACGTAAATCAGTTTATATACATTCATATTACAGTATTATATGCGTTGCGACCCACTTTTGTCAATTTCTAGGTCCCAAATGTTAGCGATTTAGCTCCTTTAAGTTTGAGTTAGGCTTCTACCTGAGATCATTTATAACGGTTAAGATGTTATCAAGAACCTTATTATTAGTAGGCTTCAATTAACGGACAATCTACTAATAATGAGGGGATAGTGACTAATTAAATAACTTATGGAACACATATAAAAACTAATTGTATCTCAAACTCAAAGCTATAAACCACAGCTGCTTCATATTATGTAACACTCTGGTACAAAATGAATTCCGTATCCACGCTTGTATGGACCATGAGATGTGAATAATTCTCGATGCAATAATCAATATCATAATATCCACGACCAACAAACTAATCGGATAACTAATAAGTCTATGTTTAGACCATCAGTCAGGATGACTGCCAAGAAAAACAAAGTATAGAAGTCGACCGATGTTCACTTAATTGGCTGCATTGACAGGCGAGTGAGAAAATATTATGTTAATAGTTACAAACTTAGACATTATTATAAAATATTTTTGGCATATTATAGATATGTGATACTGCGTATCAAATCTGGACAAAGAAATAATACGAC